CAGGAATGACCAAGCATCTCAACAATCCCACTCTTTAGGGTTTTTTTAATTAGCACTGCCACTTTATGGCACTGTTGTGAATGCTTTTGCATGGATCTCCCTTCCTTTGTTTGTCTGAACTCTCTACTATGCCAGACAACACTGTTTATCCCACTGCATGAATTTCCTTGGGAAATGCTTTTACAGCTCTGGAAAACACCCCTGCATTTGCTGTGCTTCTACCACAGCACATGAGGGAGGGAGATTTACTGGAGAATTCATGCTGAATAATTCATGCCCATTCCCATTTGTTGGAGATGGTGTGCTGGTTACATCAATTTATGAAGAAAAACAAAGTCTGATTCAGCTTTGCAAAACTGACACACAACACGATTTGCAGGATTTTTCTACTTCATGTGCAAAGCTTCTCTGAGTGCTACCAAAAACTCAAGCAACTTTGATTACAGTCACATCCCAAGGGCTTTGCATTAACTCCTGCATGTATGCAAACTCATTCCCTTAACCCAGTAGCAGTGACTATTTTCACAGCCCAGAATGGTAAAATGTCAAGAGTTCCTATTTAATGAGTGTTTCTCCTGCTAATGCTTGCCCTTGTAAGTAGTAGTGCAGGCACAAACAGTACCAGCATCACCATTTTTAATGCCACCATCCAACTCCAAGGGTTTGGTGGTCCACAGATCATCACTGACCTTCCTGTATTTGGGCTGTTACTCTTGCCTGGACATTTAAACAGGAAAGAGATTCACTGAGTGATTCACAGAAGTTAAAATGAAAAAGCAATCCTCTTTTTTTTTTTTTTTTTTTTTTTTTAAAAAAAAAAAATAGCAGGAAACAAATTATATTTTGGGAATGCAAAATGAGCTGGTAGTCTTGGGGATGTTGAACAGCAAGACAGAAATGCCACCAAAAATTAACACACATACATGTGCCTGTCAGCAATTAGCAATGAGCAACACCTGCTTTTTCTTATTTTAGTTCCATATCAGGAGCTCTGCACTTCAGCAGAGTGAGATACTCCACCCTGCTGCTATCAAGACTGGACCTCTTTGACCTGTTTCATGGATGCAGAGATTCAGAGAGAAGTGCTCCAAGCCAAACAAGCAGCTTTGCAGAATTTATAGCCCACAGGAACAGTGCTCAGCTTTGGAACAACAGTTATTTGAGATTATCACACAAAAAAATCCAAATTATGCCCCTGGTATTGAGTTATACTGGCAGTAACTTAGTGTTCATGGTGAAGGAACTTTTTGTGTTTCAAGTCCTTTGAGACTTTAAAGCTGTCCAACAGTAAAGCAAATTACGCACTTGGAAAAGAAAAACATCTTCAGCAAAAAAACCCATTCAAGTAAAAAAAATATATTTTACTTCATTTGGCTATGAAGCTTGAATATTTTAATTTATAAACACTTGATTTAGGTAATGTGTTAAATACTTTGTTCTGGGGCTCCTCTCAATTTTGACATATGACTTTGAGAGACTGCTCATGATAGCCAGTGTGGAAAACAGCATTCAAATCCAAAGCTGCAAAACCAAATCACACAGGATACACACTGAATTCAGTAAAATAAAAGAAATTTAAATCTGAACACAAGGGCAGTGCTGTTGTGTACTAAAGCCAACTGTCACGAAGTCTATGCACTGTGTATAAAGCACACAGCAGCTTGAGGGAGATGTGTGTCTGGTACCAGCTGCAAATCAGTATTGGTAGGAAAATGGTAAAATACATTTTCTCTCAAGAGCAGAAAAACAAAAAAAAAAAAAAAAAAAAAAAAAAAAAAAAAAAAAAAAAANAAAAAAAAAAAAAAAAAAAAAAAAAAAAAAAAAAAAAAAAAAAAAAGGAAAGAGAAAAGAAAAATGGTTCTAGCAAATTTACAGTCATTTATATGTCATTTTATTTATGAAGTGACTGGATAAAAAAAACCTCTAAATTGACCCTCCTACAAGCACTTTACAGCCAGGACTGCAATTTCCCTTGCAAATTGCTTTACTCCACACTTCTCAATGGAAAAAATCCCATCACTCTGGCAGTGCAGTTTCCTAAGTGAATTTTTGTGTAACCTATACCTGCAAGCCACATGCCTTTGCAGAAGTGGAAAAAAATCCACCACTGAGAAAACCCAAATTCCACAGCGGGAACAGTCATTACTGAGTTATGTAAGTTCAAGTACCACAAGCATTTCAATCAACAAAAAAGCCTAACTACATTTTAAAGTGTATATGCATGAAGAATATTATAAATAGCTCAGTTATATGATTTCTAACCAGAGGCTCTATTCCTCAGAGAATTAGCTAAATGATGAATTTGAAATTTCAGCTGTTCAAGCTACTCAGGATCTTCTGTGAAAAAATGTGGAAAACTCATCATTTTCCTTTCAGCTGAGAAATTCAAAGCTGGCTGTGGAAACTATCTCGAATGTTCAGAAATTATTCCTCTGCTTGGTTCCTGCCCTACTTTTCTGAATGCTTACAGTTTGGAAAAAGTAACAATACAGTCATTATATTAAACAGTACACAAATCTAATTCAGCAAACAAATCTGAATGTGCTTTTCTTGCTTTCAGTAGAGTGAGAGTACATCACTTCTGTACTTCCTTTCATAGAATTCCCAGGGGAACAATGTGCAAAATACAACCTCCAACACACAGCTAAATCATGGCAGCTGAGCAAACATTCATGATTCCAGGCATGCAAAGGAAAGCTCTGTCTGATCTGCATGGTTCCATCAACTGCACAGTTTGCAAAGCCATGAAGAATGTAAGAGCATTTCTTTATTGATATTTAGGGGGGTTAAATTATCAACAACAAATTAGATCTATATAGAGTGCATTTAGTTATGAGAAGAGATGTAAAATTCTAGTAACAATTTACTTGTTTGAAAAATGCTTTGGCAAATCCCAATGTGCAAGGTTAAGACGAGCAGGGATCCACTGTAAGAACTAAAATTTCTTTCATTATTTCCCTTCCAGTATCCCAATAATAATAATATGGACATCTCTGTGAAAATAATGATGTTACACTTCAGACTGCACCAAAAGCTGGGCTCAAATCACCACACAGGGTCTGCAGAAGTGGATCTGCTCTGACAAGTTCCATGCAAGCCACTGAAAACCCTTCCATCAAACACCCACAGGCTTTAAAGCCTGTCAGTATTTCTACCCCATGTTCTAGTACAAACAGTAAGATCAGCAGGAAAAGCTTAAACCCAATAGGATTTAAATATATAATTTTGCGATGTCTTAGACCTTTTAAATTAAAACAACAAAAGGGACAGGTTCCTTCAATCCATCTGGAAATAGTCTGGAAATAGTCTTGGTTACCTTCCAGAGGAACCTGACAATTCTTTAGGCAAAAAAAACCCAAACACATAAACAAAGGTAGAATTATGAAAAGATCCTCATGATAACTGCTAATGAAAATGTCCAACATCTTCCCACATAAAGTTTCTAAATTTCCATAAAAGGAAAACATGAATAAAGACGCTTTACATTTTGATACCAAGTATTTCAAAGAGAAACACGGATGGGTAAATAAACAAGGAAAAAAAAAAATCAAAGGCCTAATACTAGCAGTTCCATAAAAAACAGGCGACTTTATTCTAGCAAGGATAAGTTTAAATTTATTGAACTTTCAGGGAGGTGGCTCTAGGGCGGATTCCCATGGCTACCCAGGCAGCGGGAGCACAGGGGGCTGCTGCAGGCTGTGCACACGCGGCCGGGGCTGCTGGAGGCAGTGCTGAGGCTGCCACGGTACCTGCGGAGTTCTCGCCGTTCTGCTCATCCCGCAGGCTCTGCTGGCTCAGCTCTGTCACCAAGCGAACCGCCTGCTTCCTCCCCTCCTCGTCCCCCGACTCCTCCGACTCGATCCTCTTATCAACTGCACAAGACACAGAACGGCAGAGTTAGGCTTTTCCCAGCAGAGGGGCACAGGGGACGAGCAGCAAGCAGATAAAATAACCAGGAGTCACATAAACGACTAGGCAGTTAGTAGAAATCCTAAGTTAACTAAATGAAAGGTTTAGTCTTAAATAAAAGGCCTCTTACCCCTTGTTTCTACTTTGATTTTGGATGCACTTTTTCCTCCCCTCACATCTTCCTAAAACCAACAATCTGGGAAGAAGACTGGAGGAAAAAGGAAATTTCTTAGATCAATGAAGTGCAATTCCAAAGATTACGGAGATGGAATTAGAACGATTACATTTTAAGAGCTTTTAGAATATATATTAAAAATATCAGTATCATGTACGATAGTACCAATGACACAAAGTGAAGGCATCGATAAGTAAATCCTCACAGATAAGAGCAACCTCCCCAGAACAACCTGTCAGGTCCCTTCACGTTTACCGAGCCACAGTGGTGGCCACCCTGAGCCTGGACCAGAAGAAGCTCCTCGCTCCTTTCCCCCTTCCTCAGTCTTTCCTCTCCTTACACCATGGGACTGAGGAAAACCAGCGCCATCCAGAAGGCTTCTTTCTGGTTATCTATACTTTTCACGTCACGGCCATCTCCAGAACCCCGCTCCTTCTCCCTGCGGCACACGGAGCCCGCGGGCACCCGCCGTGCGCTGACACCGGCCCGGCAGGGCCCGGCCGCTGGCCTCGGGCTGGACACACGGCGGCTGCACGACCCCGGAGGGCCCGCAACCCCCGCCCCGGCGCGCAGCTGGCAGCCGCACGGCCCGGAGGCGGCGCGGCGCGGCCGGCTGCTCCAGCGCCGCCTCGACCCCGCAGCCCCGCAGCAGCCCCGGCGGGCTCTCACCCTCCATCATCTCCTGCGGCCCCGCTCCGCTCTCCGCCGCCATAGCGCTCCTCCTCCCACCGCCCCTTCCGGAAGCCGCCCCCGCCGCCGCCGCGCCCAATCACAGCGCGCCGCTGCCGCCGCGCCCCAGCCAATCGCGCGCAGCCGGCGCGTCCAGGGGGCGGGGCATAGCCCGCCCACACCCCAGCGCGCACGCGCTGCGCCCCGCTGCCTCCTGGGAGCTGTAGTTCTCTGCAGGAGGGGTGAGAAACACTCGGGACCTGTCCGGCGCCTGGAGCCGGACGCGTTACGCGCTGCTTTGGGCCCCGTCCTTCCGCCTCTAAAGCCCTGGGAGGAGCAGAGGAACAGCTACCGCCCTGCGGAACGGCCTTCCACCCGCAGCCGCCCGGAGCAGGCCGGCCGCGCTGCCCCGCGGCGCGGGGGCACCGTGAGTGGCGGGGAAGGGGAGGCCGGCGGGACCGGCGAACTGCCGGGCGTTCGAGCTGGCGGCGCCTCCCGCGCTGCCGCCCCGTTTGCTGCTCGCCGTGCCGCTCTCACACCGCCCGCGCCCATTGGGTGCCGGGCGCTCAGTCCCGCCCCCGCTCCTGCCGGCGCTGCCGCCCTGAGGGGCCGCGGCTGTGACCGCAGCGGCGCGGCCCGGCCCGGCCCGGCCCGGCCCGGCCCGGCCGGCACCCTGGGTGGGAGGGAGCCATCTGCGCTCCACTTGCCGATTCAAAACCGCGAGTTATATATTGGTGGCTCCAGCATAGGGAACGGGACGTGCCCTGGCTCGTCTGGCCCCTGCTGCTGGACCAAGTAGCGGCCACTGTGGTGTTTCGCCCCAGAGACGCTCCTGGCTAGATGGATGGAGACAAGTCCAGGCGAGCCGGGGCTCAGGGGACGGCAGGATGGAGCTTCCCTGGCAGAGGGTGTGCTCCCTCAGGCTTCCTGCTGTCGGAGAGGCTTTTAAGGCTATGGGGAAGGAAAGGAGTCGGTCTGATGGAGGGTTTAATCCAAAGTTTTTATTCTGGCCCGCAGGCGTCTGAATGTAGCAGCGGTTCCAAGCAGAACTGTGAATCCTGTCACTGCTCCATCAGAACTCCCGGACAGCCTGGTTCCCCTCGCTTCTACCTGGGGGACGGGACAGGGGAAGGGATAAGGAGCCACCAACCAGGTACGGGAGAGGAGGTCTCAGGGGACAGAGCACACCAGGGTGGCCCAGTGTCCCCCCGGGGTGAAAGGCAGCCTTTGAACCTGCCCAATCACTCCACAAACTTTTGGAATGCCAGGAGTGACAGACAGTGCTGGCAGGGGTCAGGGTGGGGAAAGGCAGAGTGACTGACACACCTGGGGGGACACCTTCAGGGGAGGGACCAGGGGCCCTGGGGTAAAACATAAAATCACACCAAAACAGCGAGTGACTTTCCAAATTACTCAAGGGTTTTGGTTTCAAAGCCAGCAGAAAGGAGGGAGGGTGCTGGGTGGGCGCTTAGCAGCTCTGACAGAAATAAATGTGGTGGTGGCGTCCTGGTGGTCACTCGTGTCCTGTGGAAGCGTCTGGCTTGGAAGGGACCCAGAAGGATCATGGAATCCAGCTTTTCAGTGAATAGCCCCAAGAGGGATGGAACCCTCACCTGGGCAGGATGCCAAGTCAGCAGTCAGCTGTGGGTAATAACCACACAGCCCAACCTCAGGGCAGGAGCTCAGGAATGAGGGTTCTGCTGTCACCTGCAGGGGTGTGGCTGGGTCAGAAGGCATTGTCACTTGCCAGCGTTGGTCCCTGCTGCGGGTCTGACTTTGTGTCCTTTGATTCTCTTGCAGATCGTGGCTCCCTAAGTGTGGCCTGGTGACCAGAGTGTGATCATGGCAGCTAAGGCTTGTAGCCCCTCTGAAGGAGCCCTTCTGTCTTCATCAGCAGGCTTAGTCCTTACTCACTTGAATGGCTCTGATACGCTAAGCAGATCCTTCCCCTGGGGCAACAAAAGCAGGAGAAGTCGTCTCTTTGGGCTCTGTCAGCTTGGAGCATCACTGCCTGGTGAGCAGTCTGTTGTGAGACTGAGTACCCAGGAAGCTTTTGAGCAGTGTCAGATCTTCCTCTTCCCCTTCCCCAAAGACAGAGACTACAGCAATAAGTATCTGCCACGATGCACTTGTTCAGTGAGCACCTGAGCCATGGATTGCTGCAGGCTGGGAGAGCTTACAGGGAAAACATTACTGGATAGATGCTCACAGAACTTTTGAAATATGTAGTGCAGTCTCTTGGCACTGTGTAGCTAAAACATTGGTGTGGATACAGGTATTTCAATGTCACATAGTGGGAACACTTAATTAGCTAAAACTGCAACTAATGCAGTTTTTAAAAAGGGCTTGGGCACTTACTGCAATTATTTAATGACCATTTCATTTTTCTTTTGAGAGATTTCAAAACATTTTAAAAACTGCTAAGTTAAAAAATAAAAGTTAACTAGTCTGGTTAAAGCTTATGAATGTTGGCAAGTGGTATGGACTAACTTTATGTGTTCCAGATTCAAAAAGATAAATTTATTAGGATAGTTTCTGTTTTCTTTAGTTTCACTATTTTATTTTATTGTAATTTCTTTAAAAATCTAGAAGCGTGTATTTTTGGATTATTTGACAGTTGCTTCAGCTGACAGCATTTTTTTTTCTTTAGTTCATTCTTCTGATACTCCTGTTACAGCAACATTCCTGACCTTTATGTTTTCACAGGGGAGAAGTGGAGCTCTTACTGTTTGTCTTCTCTGACAGCTCGTAACATTTGTGCCAGCAAAACTGGTAACCCATGGGCTCAGTGGGATCCTGCCTCTCTCTCTGCTTCCATTGGAAGTTCTTGCTCCTTTTTGCACACCCCAGCTGTGGAGGAATCCAGCCAGTACCTCCCAGCTGCTGCACGCAACCCAAACCAAGCCATCTTCACTGTGGATGCCAGCACAACAGAGGTACCTGCAGCACAACCTGCAGCACTAAGCTCCCCATAACTGCTGCAGGTTGTGTGATAGCAGGCTAAAATGTCTGGTTTTATCTTGTGTATCTGCAGGTAATCAATGTCATGAAGGCAGTTTGTAGTCTACTCCAGCTCAGTGGTCTTCTAAAGGCTGATGAGTTTATTTCCATTGCAGGTTGTAGTTAGCAAAATACACAAAATAATAGCAGAAGCAAGGATATGTTGAGTCTTTCTCAAACAGGCCATGGAGGTTGTGGACTCCCTATTCCTGGAAATGTTCTAGGTTGGATAAAGCTTGGAGCAACCTGTGCTGGTGGAAGGTGTCCCTGCCCATAGCATGGGGGTGGAAATGGATGGTCTTTGAGGTCCTGTCCAATCCAAACCATTCTGTCATTCAGTGGTTCTATAAGAATGCAGCTGTGAAGTGACATGAGGGAAGAAAGGAAGAGCAGAATGTGCTTCGGGCCTTCTCTCTGTAAAGTACCAACCCTGAAATGTATCTGTGGTGGCATAAGATTTCTTTATCTGCCCCAGTAAACATTTCATTTGCATTGGGAGGGAAAGAATTTCTCTGTTCCTGTCCTGAGAGGAATCTAACATTGGATCCTGATACCTTTAAAGAGCTGTGCCATGTTTTAGCTCGAACTGACAGTTTGGGTTTGCCCACTTTGGAAACACTGAGTCCCAGCTTGCTCCATTGCACAGGCTCCAGTGTGCCAGTGACTGGTGTGATCACTGCACACCTCTGAGTTTGGATGTAAACTTGTGGCTTTCCTGGGCTTTGCTTGCAAATACAACTCTGTAGTTTTGCCTCCATGGATGTCATTGTTTACAGTTAAAAGAAAGCAGGGAACCTAAAAGGAAAGCAATGTCTCAAAACCCCTTAACCAAAAAGATGAGTGGACAAGGGATGTCCTAGAATAAGAATCTATAATTAACTCAGAATTGTAAAGAACCATTTTATTTCCACCAGGAGAAAGGGATGTTTTAAGACATTAAAGCAACAACTTGAGGAGATGATGAGCTCTTAAAAAAATTTTATTCTTTGTTTAAGTTTTTTGTTTGTTTTTGTTTTTTTTTTCTAGATCCTAGTGGCCAATGACCAAGCTTGCAAGTTGCTTGGGTGCAGTAGTCAGGAGCTCATTGGTCAAAAGCTGTCTCACTTGATATCCAAATCTGGCCAAGAGGCCTGGGAAGCAGTGGGTGAGGAGTACCTAGAAACTTCTGAATGTTCATTGGTGGCTTCAGGAGCTGTGGTATGTCAAATGTTCAAGGAATTATTCTCCACCACATAAAGTGGTTTTGTAGGCTTTGGTTTGGGATTTTTAAATTTTTTTTATGTTTTCTGCAGTTTCCTGATATATTTAACTCCATGGACATTTGGCAATTGTCATTTGCAGGATTGTTTGGTTTAAAAGTTTGCAGGTGTGGGAATTCAAAGGGCAAAAGATGATTCAAGGGGATACCCATGAGAACCTTGTAGCTGTCAACACATGGAGTCACTGTGACTTGTCCAAACCAGAATTTAAAGGATGTTAGATTTTTAAAAAATAGATTAACATGGAAAAAGTCTATTGTGGAAAATTTCCCAATTGTCTGGTCCTTAAAAATATATTTTAAATTATATCAAATTGGCTTGTGCATATTGTAAAGGTTGAAGCCATTGAAATACTCTGAAATGTCTGTGTCAAAAGACCATAGTTAGTGCAAAAGAGTGGAATTGGTATTTTGCCTAGAATGGGGTTATTTATAAGAGAACTGTATGAGAAAATCTCCATACTATTTTTTTTTTCTGCTGTTGTGAGTTGTCCTTAGAGAGTCCTTGGAAAATATGCTCCTGTTCTTTCTGGAGTGTTGTTTTCGAACTGAAATTGTTGGTATCTCAGAGCCTGATCTTCCTGAATCCTCAGCTGGATATGGGGTAGGGGCAAGGATCTAAGTATGATTCAGTGAGAATTAAAATTAAATGTCTGACAGAGGTACTTATTCTAAGCTGTTCCAAATACTTTATGGGAGTCACTGTGTAAGTCATAAACCCATTCTGCTGAGATCATATAAAAATCATAAAAGGCTTGGGACGAGCCTTGCAGGCTATAAGATAAATAAACATTTTCTGATCTGAGAAGAATCTCCTCCCAAAAGAAATTAAATTGCTGGTTTTGCAGCTGAAAGTAAGGATTGTTACTAATGGGGAGTGTTCATTAGCACCATGGGACATCTCTTAAATAGGACATCTCTGAGAGGCACTTCACACTGAATGCAAGGTGTTAGAGTGGTACATTTATTATTCTGAAGTCTTTGTGCATTTAGACTTCCTGAGGTGGGGAGAGACTATGCAAAAGTAACAACATTTTGTGAATTATTTTTTATTTTTCTGGATTAAAACTGTTTGTCCCATAAAATATTAGAAAGTAGTCAAGAAATGATGTTTATCTAATATGATAGGGAGGTATCTTGGCTCAGTATCTTACTCCTGTTTGAAGTTTCTTCTAAGTAACCACAATCTAAGTAAGTCATGTCTCCATTTCTGAATCTGGTGGGAAGGTGGATGTTATTGGCCACCTCAGTGAGAAGATCCCTGTCTCAGTCTGGTTGAGGCAAATAAGAAGCAAGGACACGCAGCGTTGTGTGGTCGTGCTGGAACCAGTGGAGAGACTTTCAGCTCGTGTTTCCTTCACGGCTGATGTAAGTGTTTTCCTAACAATCAAACTAGACTGTAATTTGTGAGAGTTTGTGTGGGACTGGTAGGTTGCTCTTTGTGAGCATGGAGTTGTGTCCATGGCAGGGCTTGAAAGCAGGGCTGTGCATGCAGGAGCTGTGCATGGATCTCTGGTGAGGCTCACCTTGATGTGTTTGACAACACAGAAATGCACTCTCTCTCTTCAGGGGATGTGTTATCCTTAAGCAGTGTTGGTTTGGCAGGGGGTTGATACTTTGGGGTATGGATGTCCTTGTGAAGGGATCATCTGGCTGAGGAATAGTTCTGTGAGGAGTACTGGACACCTTTACCTCTCTCCTGGGCAAAGGGCAGGCTCCCTGCACAGTGATATGGGAATATTGGTTTATGCTGTGTCTGCTTTTACTGAGTGAGTTGTGTCCGCCAAAGGATTGCAGAATGAAATTTCCTGCCATTGCTTAGGTAACTGCAGAAGCCATTGTCAAAGCATTGAGTGGACTGTGGCTAAAATGTTAAAATTTTAACAATCCCGTAAATTTTCCTCCCCAGGGAAAAATTACATCATGTGATCTCCTTTATGCCCAACTCCATGGCTACCCAACATTGGAAGCAGTAGTTGGACTCCACATAAAGGACCTGATTCCTTCTTTACAGATCCCTCCTCTAGGCAAAAAAATCCCAAAGGTATAGTACGAGCACCAGCCTCATTCTTCCATAGCCTTCCTATTTGGAGTGCATGCTGCTTTCCCTCCTTACATAACAGAAGAAAGCCTTTTCAGAGAGAAGCCTCATTCCCCTGCTTTTTTGTGCAGCTGCTGTCTGAAGAGTTCCTAACCTGGGATGAGACCATGCCCTGGAATCTGCCCAGGTCAAAGGCAGTTTTCTCCAGTCCTAGCTTTGTAAGATACTGTGCTCTCTCTGCAAGCTCTTAAAGATTCCTTTTAATTCTTTAACCCATTTCAATCATGTCTGTCTGAGGAGTGAAAGAATACTCAGATCTTGCAAATGCCATGGAAATGGGCAGACAGGGAGTTGAAGGAGGCCTTCTTATGAATGCCTAATTTGTTGAAAAGCTGCAGCACAGACTGGTCTTCAGGATATTTATTTGGTAGTTCAACACTGGATTCCAAATCCAGTGAACAACAGATGTTGTTCATTTTGATACTCACAAAATTGGTTCCTTTTCTTTTCCTGCTCTTTTTTCCTGAGAATTCCCATGTCATTTTATATAACCAGTGCAATAAACCCAAAGCATTTGGTCGGTTAGAGGTTTTCTGATTGAGTTTTGTTTGGTTGGGTTTTTTTGCTTTGGTTTAGAACCTCAGGATCCAGCGAGCTGCAGGCCGATGCAGAGAGGGCACCATGTTTCCTCTCAGTTTAAAGCTGGAAGTCAGCCATCTGGAGGAGGAGCCAGCAGCAGTGCAGAAAGATGAGATTCCACAGACAGAAGGCTCTCTCCCAGGCTATCAGTACTCTGCTACAGTTGTGGTTTTCTCCACCATCAGTGGTCTTATTGCTCTCCAGTCAGATGGAACCATCTGTGGCATCACGGATAGTTTTGCTTTAATGCTCTTTGGCTATGAGAAGAAAGATCTGTTGGGAAAGGTAAGATAAGTTCATATCCTCCCAGAAGACTGATACGTGTGGCAGCATACCCACTGGAATTGTGAAGCTGTTTTACACTCCTTGCCATCACAAAATCCTTGTGTTCCACATGTTTGGTTAGTGAGGTGTGGGATGACATGCAAATTCCCATGCTGGAATTGCTGAGACTTGCAGTGCTGAGGAGTTGCTATGGATTTCAAGTAGCCCAAAACAAGCTGCACAGTTCTATGTTCTCCATTGGTCATGTGGATCACTTTTGCCTGGCTGTCCATGAGAATCAGGCTCACAGACACACTGTGTCAGCATTTTCCCCTGTCCTGTGAGAGCTGGCTTAGCTTTATAAGGTTTTGTTCTTTGTTTTAGAACATTACATTCCTGATCCCTGGTTTCTATAACAACATGGAAAGAAGCAGTGGCTGTTCTTTGCCTTTACCTCCTCTGGATGATCCCACAGGGACAGAAGGTGAGTGCTTTTTTGAAAGTGTCAGTGCCTGCCATAGAGCTAGCTTTGGCTGCTGTAACCAAGGGGAAACAAGCAGAGACAAGAGGTTGACCCACAAAAAAGAGAACATGCCCCTCCATGCAGTTTTAAAATCAGATTTCCACTATAACCTCAGGTAAAGAGAATTGTTCACCTAAGATTGAGCTTTTCTCTCTGTTGCCAAGAAGATAAAACTGAATATCCAATATGGAAATTACAGTGAGAATAGAGAACACTTTGTACTTAACAAGCACTTCCCCTCCCTTCCTCCCTTCCCTGCTAGGACCCTGTGGTATTTTAAAATGTGAAAAATATAGCTCTTGTGACTGTATTGCAGCGGAGCTGTAGCTACTTAGGATTAATATTTTAAGGGAAAAATCTAATATTCTGAATTGGCTTGTGCTGCTGGCTGATAGTCAATGTTATGGTTGCTGTATTTCAATCAGGGAGGCATCACTTATTCCTCTGATGCAGCTTGCATCAGAATTCACCAAAATTTTGCTTCTCTGAACACAGCATGAATAAACAGAAGCAAAGAAGCCTCATCTTTCCACATCTGTCTTTTCCAGCCAGCTCTGCCCAACACAGAGAACACCAGCAAGTTCATGCTCTCATCCATACCACATTTTAGGCTGGTTTTGTCTCCTTTTTCTCCCCCCTATTTTTTTTTTCTCTTTGCTTAGAAATGCACATCTGTGCTGAAACCAATGCACCCCACTGGAACAAAGAAGAGTTAGTAGACACTGTACAATTTCTTAGGTAATTCTTTGATGAAATGATGCCCCTAATCTAGGAGTAGTTCAATTCTTCAGTGAGGAAGCGTTGTTAGCACTCAGCTGTTACTAATTAAACATTGTTCTAGATTCAAATCTAGATTGCTTACTCATTACCTTCTTCTGCAGCAATAGTACTTGGTTTACTTCATCTAACAAACTCATGTTTTTCATCTGATATGTTGTCACTGGGGAAGGAAAGACCTTAATTTCCTCTTCTTTCAAACATGTTTTGACTCTTTTTTTAATCTTATAGCTTCAGTGAGTTATATAAATGCAGTCCAAACCTTTCCATTATATGGATTTGGAATGGGCTGTATATGTGTGGTTTGAGCTTTTTTTGTTTTTTTAATGCTACTGCTGTATGATCATTTTAATTTCAGTCTATTTATATTATTGGCATTTTCTTAGGCCTCTGAACTTCAAGTAGCTAATACATGATACCAATATCTGCTCAAGAGCTTTGCTAGAAAAGCAAATTTTAGCAGCCCTAAAACATGTAGATTCCTGCATGTGGTGATTTATCAAAGTAGAATGGAATGCTTGTATTTAGACTGTTTTGCCTCAATCAAGCCTTTTGTACTCAATTCCTTAGGGAAAAAACAGACCAAGGCAGTTCCAAGTTTATTTTTAATCACTGTAGCCTCTGAAGCCTATAAAAGTTTAAATTGGTGTGGTTTTGTTTCCTGTTTGGTACAGAGAGCAGTTTCTTGGCTGCATCTTCAGCACACCTTCTGTCAAGAGATGAAGAGCAGGAATTGGAGCAACAACACAAAGATGACAAATTAATACATGATGAGAATAAACAAAATAGTGGGAAGAATGGGACCAATTTCTTTTCTCCTCTCTCACCTCCTGAAGCAGCATCCACCCCCAATAATAGGTAGGCATTTCACAGACTGTATATTCACTTGGGGAAATGAAGAGCTGTGTTGGCAATCACCAGCAAAAGCTGATTTTTTCACCTGTTTGATGTCTGTGGGAGGGTGTAGCAAGAGCCTTCCATGCTTTACTGTCTTTAGAATCTGAGTGTAAGATAGGCTGAGTTGTCACTGCCTTAGATTTTTATTTCTATCTGCACAAGCTACCATTGTAAAATTACAGAAATTCCAACTCTAAAGGAGACCAAATGTTTCATCCAGACTAAGGTAATTAGGCTCCCTAATCATAAATAGTGGATGTTTATCTCCTTCCAGCTGGTGTTGCACTGAAGCCAGGTTACCTGGAGGGAATTCTAAGTGTTATTCCTTCTGGTGCTTGGCATAACTCTCAGGTCATCCATTAAAACAGGGTACTGTGTTTCTGAAATCCAGCCATTTTTCTTGTACATTTCCAGGTCTTTTTCCTGCCACAAGGTTAGAAATTCTCTAGAAGTACAAATGTCATGCTCATGGCCTACTTTAAGTCAAATCTTAAGCCTTCCACATTAACAATTCTAGCTGCAAATCTGCTACAGTTGTGGTTTTCTCCACCACAGTAAATATTTACTATCCACTTTAAGGTATAAACCGTTACAGCACAGCTCTTGTTGCTTTTTAAAGTGGCTGATTGTGTCATTTTTTGTGCTCTCATGGTTTACATCTCTCATATCATCCTTGTAAGTAAGGACTGTAAGTGCTCTGCTTCATTGTTTTTCTATGCTGCATTTTTACTAATGGAAATGTTTGCAAAATACCTTGTGCCATGGATGGATTATTAAAGGTACAGTTCTGCATTCTTTTATTTCTTATGTATTTATATGAACTCTGTAAAGCTGTATTAAGCTTTTGTATTTTCCCTGTTAGAGAATTTTGGACATGGTATAATTCTGGAAATCAACAAGTGTTTTAAGCAAACACTTTAGGTGGATAAAAAGGTTTGAAATATGGTAATTTTAAAAATCATCACACAAATGACCCAATGTAGATATTCTGCATACTTCCTAAACAGTTCTATTATTAATGGCATAACATAAAACTGATGGATTTAGTCTAAAATATTACAGGTAGCAGGACAATAGCTGTTTTTTCAGGGCTTGGGTTTCTGTCAAAGCATATATCCAAACCCTGATGGATGGAGACATGCATCTCCTGTTGGACAGACAAGGGAACTTCTGTTTTCAGGACTGGAAGCATCCTGCTGAGGCCTGAACAGCAGGCCTAAGCACCAAATTGACTTACAAGATGAATCTTGAACATGATGTTATTAATACCATCAAGGTTCTTCAGTTACAAATAGATGATCAAAACATTAATATTAGTTGTTCTTAATGCCAAACCTGCTGTTGTAGAGACATTGGTATAACCTTGTGTGAGGTATATTAAGAAACTGTCCCAACAGATATCCCTGGAGGTTTGTTAGTCGAATATTTTAGGCAAAACCCTCCCAGCCCTGGCCCTGGCTGGTGGGAAGTGGGCCATCAGAACCAGATGTTTTCTGCACAAAAAGGTGAACAAGTAATTTGGATTGTTTAATTTGGGCCTATAAACCTGGACCCCTTTTTTGAGCAAACTTGGGAGACCTCACCTACAAGTGGATGCACTGCATGGGATTTTCCCAACTGCTGGGAAGAGTTCTCCAGGTCCTCACTGAAAAAAAAAAAAGTGCTCCCCAGCAATTGCAGACTCTGGATGATGGTAAAGTATTTAGGCAATTGGTGATGGATCTTTTGCAATCACTTTTCTTTCTCCTGTAGTAATGATCAGATGCATCACCTTGCTTATTTTTGCTTGTTGCTAAAGCTGAGTGGGTAATACATTTGATAAAACAAGAAGGTTATCTTTTTTCTTCTGTATTGCCTCAATATTAATAGGAAAATAAGACCATTCTTTCTATTGGTGTCTGTGCCCATTCCATCACCCCCATCAACTGGCAAAACGCCTCACATGTGTATTAGGGTTTTTTTGTGGTGGTAAATGGTTTATGATCTATATTTAGGAATTAAGCTAGAGAAGGAAATTATCCATAGGGGAAGAGTGTCATTTGAGTGTACCTTTGGAAAATCTGTCAGGATTTTGGATGCCTGTGCAAACATCTTTCTGCCTTTTGCTTTTAAACTTGAAATAAAACTATTGGTCCAGGTTTTCAATAGTGACCATATTTAAATGGGTATTATACAGTAGGACAGTTTTCTTATTTTGTAATCATGATGTTGCTGATAGCCTTGAATTTTTGCACTGAGGACAGCCTTGCTACAGATGGGCTCTCAGCCCACCACAGAGCCTTATCCCAAAAGCTGGCTTGACACAATCAGAGCAGTGGCACAGTATAGAACAGTGGGAAGTTCAGGATCAAATAAATCTCAAAAAGATGCTCTCTGCAAGGCTCTCTCCCGCACATCACCTGACTCACAACAGTGGGATTTAGGTCAGAACTTGGAGATTGCAGAGAGAAGCAGTCACAGTGCAGGATCTCCTGCAGTAACTGTTGCCTGGTTGCCTGTTTGTTGCAGACTAGAAGACAATCTAAATGCAGCATCCTGTGACCCAGTGAAGCTGCCTTCTGAAGCCACTTGTAACTCACCTGGAACACCAACAGTGGATGAGCCATGGCCTGGGACAGCTCTGAACTGCAGACAAGACTCGAAAAGCCACATGGTTCCAGGGCAGGTGTCAAAAACAAACTCAATATGTGATGCAAAACATTCCAGCCTCGAGCATATTGTTGTTGACAACTGCCTGCTAAATGATCCTTCAATCTCCTTTGCACATGAAAGAAGCAGTGTCTGTGATGTTTGCTCAGGAAATAAAACAGGCTGCAGTGCTTCTGCACCAGGAGCTGCCACAGCCTCTGAAAATGTGAAAGAATCTGAACTGAACTGGATCTGCTCTGGTCTTGAGGTACTGGGACTGAATGCTGGTGTCAAGGGGAACTCAGACGATTCTTTAGGTGTTACTGCAGCTCTTGGAGGAGGATGTTGCTCTGATGCAGTGGACTCCAGTGTGCTAATTGAGACCAACGGTGCCTTTTCCACTCATCAAGGAAAGCAGCTGCTGAGTGGTGTTGCCACAGAAGCTGATTCTGGATGGCTGGCCTCCAGAAGGCATTTACAAAACTCTGAGGAATCCTCCAAAGCATTTCCTGAGAAACCTGAAGCCATTGTAGAAACTGTGGGAGACAACTCCAGCAGAAATCCCCTGAAAAGTAAAGGTAGGCCTGAAGAACACTGTCAGTTCCTCAGGCAGCAAAACATGAAGATCAAAGTAACTTCCACCCCAGTGAAACAAGAGGGCAGGCTAAATCCAGCAGCTGCTTTGACCTGGGAGATTCTGGAAGGCAGCTACATTGGGAATTGCTGTCACAGAGATGGTTCACAATTCAGTAAGTGAAACCTTGTCCCCTTCCCAAACTCTTACTGGGATGCTCCTTTTCACCCACAGTTTTGCAGAATGCAGACAGTTCTGGTTAGAAGCTCACAGTGGAGAGGAAGGAAGAAGCATCTAGAAGAAAAAAAAAAAAAGTATTTAAGTCTGTCCAGAGAATATCAGAAAAGGAGGTGGTATAAAATACAAAGTTGGTAAGAAATTAATCCCTACTGAAAAGTCAGAAATACTCTCAAAGCACAATTAAAAAGTGTGAACCTGATAACTTTTTCTGAAGAGAAAATACAAACTACACTGTAAAACTGTAAATTGCATTAAAATTGTATAATGGAATTTGTTTAATTCACTCCTTCAGCTGCAATCAGTTGCTTGTTGAATAAAATCCCCATTTTTATGTAATCTAGAATAACAGTGTGAAATGAATAATCACAATTGGATACTGACAAATCTCTGCTGGAGGTAGCTGATTGGTGCCTCTAGAATAGCTGTGCTAGTGTCAGCCCCTCTGATGATTCTTTACTGAGCAGCTGTTTCCCAAATTCTGAACTTTTTGTCAAGAGCTCTGAATTTTGTCCTAAAACATCCTCTGTCTTGTTCAACACTAAAGCTGCATTCTACCATTTTCATTTCCTCACCTGTTTCTACAGGCATCCTCTTCGAGGTGAAATGTGCAGAGCTGCAGGATCCCACTGTGCTTTTCTGTGTCTGGGTGGTGAAAGACATTTCACAGAGCCAAAAGGAAGCTGTTGCAAAGACTCAGCATTTGCTTGCCAGCCTGGCAAACTCTTCCCAGTCTGTTGCTGATCTCTCTACTAAAAGTCTTGGAGAAGTAAGAAATCCTACCTTTGAATATTAAGCATTTCTCCCCTTGTTTGACTGTTAAGCTGAAGCTAAAGTCAAGAAGATTTTCAAATTAATGACATGAGTTGGTGGGGTGGATGTTGCTGTTTCTTTTTTTTTTTTTTTTTTTTTTTTTTTTTTTTTAATTAAATTTTTTTTTTTTTTTTTTTTGTCCATATACTAAACCAAAATCTCAATTGCTATTTTGTAACACTTCTGGTGTGGGGCTTAGTGTAGCTACCTTTCCAGCCTGGACAGTGCAGTTCCAAACTGCAGGATACTCACTATCATGTGTATACATAAATATATATATAGTGCAGTTCTCACTGTCAGAAGCAAAGATTCCTCATTTTATCTATTCTTGCAGATGTGTATGTTCTTTCCAGTATTCATTAATTTTAGAAATGTGATTCTGTGGCTGGTCAATTTTTGCTGCTATTGTAACTTATGCTTATGTATCTGTACTTAGGCCATCAGATCAGCTTCACTTTTCAACAATTCCCCAAGAGCTGAAGATCTTGAAGGATTAAGAGCATGTGAGGGAGAATATGCAAAAAATTACAGCACCCTCAATCTTATTGGCAAAGGTGCTTTTGGCTTTGTCTGGAGTGCCAGGAGCAAGAAAGATCACCAGGAGGTGAAGTATTTCTTGTTGCCCTATTGCAATAATGATTTAGGAGGAAAACTGAAAGATCTGAGCATTCATATTCTGTTAACATTATACTGTCAGAAGCTTCTCTTTGGTAGTTGGGGTTTTGTTTTGTTGAAACAGAAATCTGTAATGGAAACAGGATAGTAAAACATTTGCATTGATATTGTGTGTAAATGTTACCTGAGACAACAGGTGCAGAATGAGTTAGTGAACTAATTAATGCAGCTAACTGAACCTGTTGAAAGAAGTAGACATTAATCTTAACAGAATTAGAGGTTTTAGTCTTCTGTTACTAGAGAGAATAGCAAACCTCAAAATCTTTATTGTGCCATGACCCCAAGAATGGAGAGTAGATGTGTTGAGATGATGGCACCTCCTCTTTTTCAGAAGAAGTATTTTGCTCAGAGGGCAAGTTCTGGTGTTTCCCTTGCATGGATGTTTAGTGCTCATTTCCCTCCACTGCACCCATGTGCTGTAACTGATTGATAAGAGACCTGGCTTGCCAAAGCCTTTGGAATTCAGAGCAGCAATAAATATATTCCATTTATGTGTATCATTTAGCTGCTAGGACTAAATTAATTTAAACACATTCAAATACACTCTAAGCTATTCACATGGGGTTACTTCCACTTCCAGTAGTATGAGGCACTAACAGATTTCCTGGCAATTAACTTCCCTGACACTCCAAGCCCTGCTTTGGCACATGATGCTGAATGCTGTTGTCTGTGTAGGTTGTTGTGAAGTTCATCTGGAAGGAGAGGGTGCTGGAGGACTGCTGGGTAGATGATCCTGACCTGGGGAGGGTCACTCAAGAAATTGCAATCCTGCAGAAGCTGCAGCACCCCAGTATCATTAAGGTAGAGTGGCTGGGAACTGATGCAGTTTGTACTGCACCGGGTGGTTTGTTTGCATCTGGGTGTCTGGTGTTCCTCTTCAGGAGTGAGGTGTCCTGTACTGAATCTGTCTTTTCAGGAGAGATTCTGTTTATCCTGCTTTGTTTTGGAGGGTGTGACACAGCAGATTGTTGCTTGCTTCAACACTTTTGCCCCAAAGTGATTTAAAGATGTGATTCTTAACAGAAAAAAAAAGCTATTTCAAGATGAGACACGTATCTTGGAAGTGTGATGTCCATTTGAACATGTACTAGTTCAGTAAATAATCTGGACACATCTTGTTTCTTACTCTTTGTTTTGAGGTTGTTGGGTTTTGTTTTGAAGTTGTTGGTGGTTTTTTGGTTGCATGGTTGGTTTGTTGTTTGTTTGTTTTTGGTTTTTTTTGCTTCAGAAAGAATTCCTCTTGGATTTAATTCTGCTCCCAGTTTTAATTCTGCACACTTCAAGAAACATTTGTGCTTGGTGAAATGAGACTTTAAAGATTATAATATACACCAATTAAATCTCCAAGAGGACAACAGTCTTTGTTAAAGAAAAAAAAAGCCAATTTTTGAGGATGAAGCACATGATTAAACAAGTCTTTTATTTATAGGTGCTGGATGTATTTGAAAATGAATGCTTCTTCCAACTGGTGATGGAGAAGCATGGATCTGGTCTGGACCTCTTTACATTTATTGATAATCAGCCCAACTTGGATGAGCCATTAGCAAGTTATATATTCAGACAGGTGAGAGCAGAATTGCTACATGCAGGTGAGAATTGGTTAATGTAAGAACCAGGATTCTGTTTCACTTAACACTGGCTAATCAACTGGCACTGGAGTTGTGCTCTGTATTTGCAGAACCTTTCCCCACCATCCTGTAGGGCTGATTGAAGTGCTGCCTGCAGAAGCCTTGTTAAGGTTTACTTAGAAACAACCAAGAAGCCTTTCCAGGACCTCACTGCCTGTGAGGTTTCCCTGGCCCTTCAGCTGTTACCAGGACAGCACACAGCCCCTGTCACCCAGACACTATTCATGTAGCACTCACATTTCCCCTGAGAGAGAAGGAAAACTCACAGAAGCTGCCCCAAGCCTGCAAAAAGCCACGTTTTCACTTACCTCAGTGCTTAGTTTTGATTGTTTACAGGAGTAAAGGGCTCTGCTCTTTAAATCAAGAAATTATATTGGATTTTAAGGTGGCATAATGCAAGGTAACTCAGGGTAGTTTCCCATAAGTCAGGAGCTTGCCTGAGGGCTGAACTGTACTTTGTTTATTGAGTTAGCCACAACAGCAGTCCCCAGGTAATTTCCCCTCATGAGTAAATTCCTTGCTCTAGGGTATGCAAGAATTACTGTGCATGTGGTAACCCCCACACAAACCCTTGCTGTGCCCACCCTGCCCTCACCTGGGGTGCTGATGGAAGATGGAAGCCAAAAGTATGCCTTTAGCCTTGTGATGATCAGCCCTTTGCTTAACCTAGCCTGGGGTTTGTAAGGCTGAATTGTTCCCTCAGATCTGCACTGCATTTCCCTGCAGAGGCACATTTGTATTATAAATAGAAACTTTTCTCCCTCAGCCATCTGCTTTTCTTGTTAAAAACATTGTAGGAGTCAGGATCATCTCCACGGTGATATCGTTCTCATATTATCCTTAATTATGGCATTAAAGCATGAATCGTGCTGGAAAAAGAATGGAGTTTAGGAGTGACTATGTTATTTATACCAAACTTGGCTCTCAAATGCTTTGTCATCCTGCAGCATGGAAGGCACACAGTAATATCCTTCTGGAGAAACCAAAGGACCCTCCAAATGCTGGGATAAAAATAGAGGAACTTGCAGGATTGTAGCAGCGAGCTCCAATGTTCTCAATCCCATCCTGACTGCAGCATCCCCTCCTCCTGCACATCTGTGAGATGAAAGCAGCAAAGGCTCTTTGAAGTGTCTCTTCCATAAGCACTGCAGCAATGATGACAGGCAGGCCTGAGGCCATTTCCAGTTGCCATAATTAGGATGTATATCTTGTTTAGGCAGTGTCAAAACAAGCCGGAATGTGACTCTGGGAAAGCTGTGATGCTACATCAACTATTCAGGGACTCTGTGTAGTAACACCTAGTCCCTTCTGTCTCTTCCAGCTTGTATCAGCTGTTGGGTATCTCCACTGTAGGAACATCCTTCACAGAGATATCAAGGATGAAAATATTGTCATTGCTGAAGATTTCACAATTAAATTAGTGGATTTTGGTTCGGCTGCCTACCTGGAACCTGGGAAATTATTTTATACCTTCTGTGGGACAATTGAATACTGCTCACCAGAAGTGCTGTCTGGCAAACCGTATGTCACCCTCTGAAAAGTCATTTTTGTTCCATCACACCAAAAATAACCCATGTGGGCAGGGCTGGAACAGTAGGCAAGCTTCTGTGCCATTGGAATGCTGCTAGAGCATCCAACCACAGGAAACTGCAGTGAGATTTAAGGCACTGCAGTGGCAGAAATCACTGTGAAGGTCTGAGTGCATACAAAGTAGGGCACTCTAGTGACAGAAATCAAGTTGTGAAAGCTTGAATATGTACAAAGGTGTTTCTAAAACTGTTTCCAGGCTCTCTCTAGCAAAAGCTGCTCTTTCAGAGAGGTGGAGTAAGCAAGTATTGCTGTTGATAGGACCTTCTCCTTGCATGTCTGTGCTTTGTATCCTCCCACTCTCATCCTCTCTGTTTTCTTTCCTACATGCTTCCCTCTGTTTGAATTTTTGCAGTTTGGTCCTTGTTCATCTCCCCACTGATTTTTGTACTCCTCGGGACTCAAGGATTCTTCTCTTACAGCTTCTCTTGCTGCTGTTTTGGCTGTGCTACCTAAATCTTGGCTCTCTTCCCTCTTCTTTCCCTCTCCAAGTGCTCTGTACCTGGCAGCTGGTGCTCTCATAGCTGCTCCACAAGGAAGCCTCCCCATCACAGGGTGGCACTGCTGTAATTGTACATGCCTGCATGGATCTTGCTGCTGCTTCACAGCTGTTTCCATGGGCCCTCCTCCTAAAGGAGTGTGGGGGAAGCAATGCAAGGGAGAGAGGAAATTCCTGGGAATTGGAGAAAGGTGAAGCAAGCAGCTCTGCCCTGGGAATTCCTCCTCTTACTGTGTGAAGGAACTGGCATGTTTTCTCAGATGGAACTGAGATAGTTAATAGTTATTTCCACGTAACTTTTGTTTTGAAAGGGCTGGGAGGATGTGTTTGCTCTTGCAGTTAAATATTTACTTGACAGTTTTGGCTGATGATGAAGGCGGTGGAGGGGTAAGTTCTTGTCACCAGCTTATGTATGTGGAAGTCTGGGTGCATGTTACACTGGTTGGCTGTTCTGTGGTTGGTTTTATTTCCTGGAGAAGGATAATGCAGACTCCTCAAACACATGAGAACCTTCTTAGTATTCTCACAAACTTTCTATGTTAAAATAAAAATTGGAAACAAGGGCTCTCAAGGTCCCTTTTTTCTTTTCACTTTCTTTAGCATATAGCTTTGTACTTGCAATCTGAGTTTCAGCAAGCTTATCTCTGCACAGGTACCACGGCCCTGAGCTGGAGATGTGGTCACTTGGCATCACCCTTTACACCCTGGTGCTTGGGGAGAATCCCTTCTGTGAGCTGGAGGAGGCCTTGGCAGCTGTCCTGAGTCCTCCTCGCCCTGTGTCAGAAGGTGAGCTCTTCCTATTTGCTTTTCAAAAGGAGCAGATCTCTTGGGAAAGTATAAGTGGTGTTTTTTCACCCCAAATAAAGGGGAAGACTGAAGAAATGCTTCCTGATGTGTTCTGTGATGATTTGGAAAGCTGCTCAGTGCAGCAGAGTTGGGGAAATTTGTCATTCTTTGAACATAGACTGTATCTCTCATTCCCAACCTGCCCAAAACCCAGCCTGAGCCATCCTCTGCTGTCCCTGCCCAGGTCTCATGGATCTGATGGCCGGGCTCCTGCACCCCGTTCCGGAGCAGCGCGTGACTCTGGCCATGCTGGCAGAGGATCCTTGGCTGTGCCAGCCTGTGAACCTGGCAGATTATACCTGGGAGGAGGTGTTTGTCCCTGCTGAGCCAGCTGGCACCTCGCTCTGAAGGCTTCTTCAGCTAGGGACGACTTAGAACTAAGTATGAGCTCTGTTAGCAGGACAGGTCCCGTTGGAAGGTTACCTGCTGACACCCACATATACTCAGTTTATTACTGTTCTTACCCAGGACATGTTTCAAAGATGTGAGGGGAAGATTTTCATGTTTAAGTTGCTCATAACTTGGAAAATATTTTTATTGCCTGGTTTTACTTTTATATGTAGCTTATATATTTTTATGAAAAGTGAATTAATAAATGAATGATAATATTGCTGTTAGTTTTCTGGATTGTGTGTGCACAAAGGAGACTCAAAACCAGATATGTAATCACATTATTTGGGTAGGAGGGGTAGGCTGGTAGTGTCCTTTTTTTTTAACATGAGAGTCCTATCTATATTCAGGAAAACAGTTCTCAATTTTGATGAGACAGAGATATTGGGAAGAAAAAATAGATTCAATAAAGGGAATTTGGTCAAGATATGGGGAACAGGAATATTTTGGGGTACAGGTCAACCAGGGTCAGGCTGCCTGGGAGGAAATGCTGGGAAAAGGCAGCGGTTTGGCCGGCTGCTGCAGCTCTGCAGAGAAGCAACAGGACTCGGCTTAATTACTAATGTTATAAATGAAAATTTATTCAGCCAAATTAAAAATAAAAATAGTTTTATTAGTGGTCAAATTCTATCTAGCCAGCCAAGGAAACAAAAACAGGGCCGAGCCCGGGGATCGACCCTGGGTGTGCAACAAGGAGTCAGCCTCAGGAGAGGTTTTTTCCCTATGCCCACACACCTCCATCCTGGCCCAAGTGGTTTTTATAGGGAAAATTCCACCTGAGGCCAAGATTTCAGCAGTCAGTCTTTTCTTCCATTCAGAGTCCATAGGTTAATAAGATTTTCTTTTTTGGTGATGAGGAAGAACAATTCAGTGTCCGGAGTTGGTGAATCCCTTGATGAAATTTATGGGAACGCTGCATTAACATGTATCTGCCCGAGGATTTCCATGAGATCCATCTCGGACATCTCGGCCCATCTCCTGGCTGAGCCTCATCCTTTTACTTGTAAATCGGGTTTCAAGACACACCGGGGTGGGGTGGGGGGGCTTCTAATACAGACGAGCATAATCCAACAAGTATCCAATATTACATATTTCATACAAGGAGTGGCGCGAATTGTGTTTGCTACACATAACACTAATTAGGTTCGTATCCAGCTCTGGACTCTGCTATCTCCAACACTTGACCTCCCCTGCGTTCTGTAGCACCGCGCCCCGGCTCCGGTCCCGGCGGGCCCGGCCCTGCGGGTACCGGAGCGGACGAGCCGCTCTGCCCGCGCTCTCCCCGGGGCACCGGGCCGGCTCCCAGCCCAGCCCGCCCCTCCTGCGCTCCCGGGCCGGGGCGGAGCGGGGCGGGCGCGGCCATGGCGGGGCGGCTGCTGCTGCTGCTGCTGCGCGGCGCGGGGACGGCGCTGCGGCCGGGCCGGGCGCTCCCCGCCGCCCCCGGGCCGTGCGCTCGCCGCGGCTGCGGGGAGCTGGCGGGGCTGCGGGCCATGGGCTTCAGCCAGGAGCAGGCCCGGCGGCTCCTGGCGCTGCAGCCCCGGCTCGGCCCCGAGCACCGGGAGGCGGCGGCGGCGCAGCTGCTGCTGCTGGGGCTGAGCGCCGAGGCCGCCCTGGCGCTGCTGGAGCGGAGCCCGGCGCTGCTGCGGCTGCCCGCGGAGCGACTCCGGGAGCGCGCCGAGGAGCTGCGGCGCCTGGGGCTGGACGGAGGTAGGGCAGCGAGCGGGGCTGCGGGGGGAACAGCGGGGCTCTGCCGCCGAGCTGCCGGCCGCTGACCCGCTGCCCGCAGGCCGGCTGCAGCGGGCGGCGAGCCGCTGCCCGCTGCTCTTCCACGTGCCGCGGAAGAGGCTGGAGGCGGCGGTGCGGCTGCTGCGGGAGCGCTGCCTTTTCACGGCGGAGCAGCTGCGGGAAGTGCTGGGGACCTGCCCCGCCGTCCTGCTGGAGGAGCCGCGCACCCTCCATCACCAGTTCCAGGTGAGGAGCGAGACCCACGTTCCTGCCAGAACCGGCTGCGGGAATAGGGCTGTGCCTGACACCCCCCGTTCCGCCCGCAGTACGCCTACTTCAGAATGGGGGTCCAGCAGAAGGAGATGGTGAAGGCTCGGCTCTTCCAAATGCCCTTTGCCGAGCTCCGGAGTCGGCACATCTTCCTGGAGCGCCGGGGGCTCTACGAGACCCCACACAAAGGACAGACCCAAACTAGTAACCCAAAACTGAAGGACATCCTTCAGCTCCCAGAGAAAGACTTCCTGGCCAGCCTGGCCTACTCTACTCCGGAGGAGTTTGAGGTCTTCAAGAAGCTGCTGGCTCGAGAGGAGGAGGAGAAGGAGGAAGAGGAGGATGTGGATGCACTGTACACAGAGGATGATGATGATGATTTGGACAGTGATGAAAGTGAAACAGCCAGGGAGTGAGGAGGTGAGGCTCTGAGGTGCCAGCCCTCCCGGGCTGCTGCAGTCACTGGGTGCTTTGGGCTCCCACACCACACCAGTGCAACCCGGGGTGACTGCAGGGTTTGGGTGGGGTACCAATAAATCCCATCTGTCAAATACAACAGCACTCATTTCTCTTCCTTGACCAACTACTTAAAAACAAAACAAAACAGTTTCCATAAAGTGTTTTTATTAAAAAAAAATCAAACAAAAATCCCTAATTTATTTCCAAGACTAGGTTAAAACTTTCCAGCTGCATTACATACTGAGCCAGCTGTAGGGACAGGAGGCTGTGGGCTGCTCTGCTGGCTGGCAGTGGGATCAAGCTTCCTGGTGCTGTGGGGACAAATCCTGTGGATACAGAACTGTCCCGTGGCAGGGCCACATCCACCTCCACAGCCCACGGCAGTGCTGATCTCGTGGCTGACAGAGCAGGGGTGCAAATACTTCGAGACCACAGCTCCAAACTCTCCTGTCTGGGTTTCCCCTTACCCTGCTCTTCCTGGTAGGGAGGGCTGGCTGCTTCTCCTGCCCTGGGAAGGCAGGGCTGCTGTGCTTGCCAGGCAGCTGGGGCAGGACCAGGCAGCCTTGGAGGAGAACAAGGCACGTCTGTCCTGTGGGAGCAAAGCTAGAGGTGGTGCAGGAGGGGAGCAGCACACGGGCCAGCTGGTCGTGGCTTCACATTGCCCCTGCCCCCAGGCTGAGCACTGTTAACACTGCTCTGGGGAGGAAGAGGGTGGTGGCAGGAGCACTGAAACTCCTGGGCCCGTCCTGCTCTGAGAGCATCTTCCAAGCTGCTGCTTGAGACATGTGGCTGAGCAACAGAGCCCTGCTTGGCAGGAGGGGAGGCCCTCCCCACCAGAATAATCCCACTCTGCTGGGGCCGTGACGCTCTATACCATAACTGCGATATATCTCTGGTATGTGTTAATTTATAATATACACCGTGTACGTTAATACACAAATCTATGTTTAACTAGTGTTGTCATACAAACTCACAAAAACTAGGAACGTTTCTAAGCTACACTTTTTCTTTCCTTGCCTGCCCTGCTGCAGTGCTGGGTGCTGGTCCTCTCCTCCACATAACCCTGCAGCACTGGTGCCACAGGGAAGTGCAGTGCAAGGGGCTGGCATGTGGGGCTGGCTTCCTCACCAAGCCTCTGCTGTGCCCTGCACTGGTGTGGAGGCAACTGTAAGTGTGGTGGTACTGACATGCCTCATCTGACAGACTTCACCCTACAGATCACATTTTAAATGCTTTTTAGGTACTCTGTTGGCTTCTGAGCTGGATATTTGGTTAAAACCAGGGCTTGTTTACAAAGCAAAGAAAAAAAGGCAGGCAGTAGAAGCTGCCTCAGTTTCCCCTGCTAGAGCAGAGGAAACAGGAATGCTCCTCTACTGCCTGTGCTCACCTCACCACTCGGAGCTGCTCACCGTTTCTAACTAATCTACAGAGGCTGCTCCTCAGAGCATGTTTTGGGGGGCCAGATTTCAGGTGATGGCTAAAGCGTTTTGGTCTGCATTAAACTGTTTTATTTGAGGGTTATAGGTAATTTATAACCTTGGATTATGAAAGCAGATGCTGTTGGCAAGGAGCTGGGCTGATCCCTGAGTGAAGCAGGGAGCCCGTCGCTTGTGCAGAGTGGCTGGGGGTGCTGAGCAGGGCTGGCCCCCTCAAGGGGCACTGGTGCTCAGCTCCTCAGGGAGAGAGGGGGCCAGCAAAGGCAGTGCTGGGCCAGCAGGGGGAAAGGGAACACTACTCAGTGTGCTGATCCAGCTGCGTGTCCCTAATGGGCTGGAGGAGAGGGAGAGGTTGACACCAGGCAGGAAGGCTCCCCTGCTGTGTTCAACCCAGTGAGCAGATCAGATCTTCCTGGTGTTCAAAAAGCCCTTAGATGTGGAAAGATGAAGCTTCTACTGCTTTAAACCCTGTGGAGGAGCAGGAGTAAAATGAGCCGGTGTGCAGAGTTTGCCAAATGCCCTGCAGCTGGCCTCTTCCCACCCTGTGCACCAGTCTTGTGCTGAGAGAGAAGGGGACCTGCTGCCTCCAGGACTCCAGCCTTTTTGCCTGGCCCTTTTTATGCAGGAATCTCTTGTTCAGGTGGAGCTGCAGAGCCAGGGGGAAGCAGAGCATTGCCTCCTGCTTCTCTATGCCAGCCACAACCAGGAGCCTTCAGCCATAAGCCCTCACACCCCCTCGACATGGTGGCATGAGCTAGGGTTGTGCCCCGGCCTGCACCGATCTCCCTGACTCCCTGCATGAGAAATGCCCCTGCCTGCATCTGAGGAGAGCTGGAGCAGGTACTTACTTCTATGGCTTCTTCAGTGTGTGACTGTTGCTTGGCTTTCTGGAAGAGAAGAGAAGACAGCACTGTCAGCTCCATGCCCTTTGGCCATTGCTCACAGGCAAGCTCACAGCACTGGCATCCAAGCCTGGGTCATGTCTGCACCCCTTACCCATCCACCCCCAGCCTGGGTGTCCCCATGCATGCTGGGGCACACCAGGCAGCCACATGCTCCTGTCCAGGATCACAGGAAGGCTGGCACATCCAGTGTGCTGCTGCGGGCTGTACCTGCTGCTTGTCCTCCTGGAAATGGTGCTCTCACAGCTCTCCTTGTAGCAGATATCCTGGTGTACCTTGTAGATTCTCCTGGACCTGCACACACAGGGGAGGTGTGAGTGTAGGGAACAAAAGGAACAGATGTGCTTTAAGGAGAGTGAAGGGGAAGTCTGGGTATTTCCTCTATTTCCTTGCAGGCTGCAGTAGCCAGCCTTGGCAGGAATGAGGCTCAGCCTG